AATTACTTTATTTCACTCTTGTTCGATCTAGGCTGGAATATGCATCGTGTGGAGTCCCTACTATCAGGTTCATATGAATCAACTAGAAGCCCTACAGAGGCGCTTCCGGAAATGAATGTCTTTTAAACTTGAAGGCACGTATCCTACTGTAGGAATACCCTATTATGAATTGCTTGTAACTCACAATTTTTGTAGTCTCGAAGTAAGGCGTAAATATTATTCATTTCTTTTTTTATTCAAGGTCATAAACAATATCATCACCTACTCTATATTCAACTGCCAGATTATACAAATCAAAAGACATTTCTTATCTAACTGACAGTTCTGTTTTCATTTTTTTAATATAGATTCACAAATTATATTATGTAAGTACATATTTGTAAATGCCACTGTTACTCCCTATTCTGTAATAGCCAACGTCTTTCTCAGAGAAATATGGACAGATGACGCTGCCAATCCAAAATCCACACCAAACAGTGACTTTTTTAGGATGCATTGTACGCTCTTGGATCTCATATGGATTGGTATCATCCCAAATTCAACAATTTTGTTTATGTACGTATCCATTCATCCAGAAACGGGCCTCATCGCTGAAGATGAATTTTCGATGAACATTGAGGTCAGATGCCAACTGCTCCAGAGCCCATTCCACGAACACACGCCATTGTCAATGGTCGTTTACTGGCTATTCCTCATACAAGAATTATCATTTTACTGTATCTAGTTTTCATATGCTCTGTAAACTATCCAATCCATGTTGAATGGAGACGATTTATTAGATTCATTATTTTTATCTCCACATTTTTATAGCCTTTTATTTGCTATCTAGAGTGGAGTACGATAAATCGAGTATTGAGGTCAATACGAAATCAAACACGTTTGTATTCGTCAATTTTATATTATAAACATTATTTACATCAATACATGTTTTGACAATGTAGTGGAATATCAACAGAATGACATTTTCCAAACTGAATCAAAGAGTTGATATATTAACAATAAATATATGTGACTGGAAATGAACGATACATTTATTAGGAACAAGGTAAAATTGTTTTTGAAAATATTGCAGGATATATTTCTCAGATATGTGATTTACCACCTGAGCAGGTGAAGGATATCCATATAAATATGAGAAATACAAACATTATACAACTGAAATTTTCCAAAACATTCAATAAAATTTTCTGAAATCGAACATCAACTTTTATTTGTCGTCAGTCTTTCTGTTTGCACGAAAGCTTTTTTCTTATCTAACGAAGGAAATGAGATATCCATTCAAAATTATCGAAAAATATCAAATTCTCAAAATATTACAGGAAATCTCAAAAAGGTAAAACTATATTATGGAAGTGATTTCGTTGATTTCATGGGAGAGTTCTTCAGAAAAATGTATTTCATTGTTATGTGGAAAGTTCAGAGATTGTTATTACCTCTGTGTAGGATTGTGGAACTAAAAATGGTATTCAAAAGATTGAATAAATATAATCCGGCCACTAAACACCATTTGAAGCTATGAAATTACGTATTTGTGATTATAAACTAGCCTGGGTCAGCAAAAATTCTTTGAGATACTTTGCAGGAAAACAAGTAAATTTCATGAAGGAGATGGAAATCAGGATGAAAATCAGCATTAGTACAATTATTTAGCCTATGGCTTATGCACTATGAATAACTAGACTCCTCATAATCGAAATATTCACTGAAATACCTATAATGAAAAGTTACTTGCGAATCAGGCAAGGTGCAACGTCTGGCTTGCTTGGAAATAATGCTAAATGACGCAAAACTATTACTGAAAACACTTTCGAATCGATATTTTTGAATTTCATAATGAGTGAATGGCAATACTGATATTATGTAGTATTATGATTCATATTAAAGGACTCACCAAGTTGCAGGAAATTTGAAAACCAAATTTTTTGAATTATACGAGGGCTATACAAAAAATTTGTCAAATTTTAATTTTTCCCAAAAATATTCATTTATTCATCAATTTCTATTCTGTACCCTCGAAAAAATTTCCTCTCACGAATGATATACTTGTGCCAGCGAAATTGTTCTGACCTGTACTTTTTGGTATCACCTTGAGATTCTCAGCAATTCTGTTTGTACCTCCTCAACCGTCGTAAACGCCGTCCTTTGATGAGCACCGTCCTTTCAGAAAAACTCCGCATGGGGCCAAATCTGGTGAATACGGTGGCTGTGGCATGATTACGATGATGATTTTGGCAAAAAATCAGGAACAAGCAATGACGAGTGGGCAGGTGTATTATTGTGATGCTAAAGCCATGCATTGTTTCTGAACAATACTGAACCTTTTAATTGTATTACGCATAACTTAAGATAATATTCCTCATTGAACTTACAACCATGTGACAAGAACTCTTGATGCACAACGCCACGGCGATCGAAAAAACCAGTAGGTAAAACTATGACATTTGATCAGACTTAGCGTGCTTTGTTGGTCTTGGCTCGTCTGGGCTCTTCCATTTGGACGACTGAACTTTGTTTTCGAGTTCTTCATCATGAACCCATGATTCGTTACCAGTTATGGTCCTTTTGAACAAAACTTTATTGCCGTTGGCGTCATTCAACAATTCCTGAGCTATGCTCATGCGACGATCTTTTTGGTTGTAATTCAACATTGAAACGAATTTCGCTGCCATACGTTTCATGCAAAAAAATCTCAAAAACAAGGATGGCATAAGCCAACCGATATGCCAACATCCTCAGCAATTTCTCTAATAGTGACTTGACGATTCTCCGAAACAATTTTCTTCACTTTTCCAACATTTTTATCGGTTGTTGATTTGCTGGAGCGTTCAGGGCGAGGGTCGTCATTCAGCTCATCTCGACCTTCTGTGAAAAGCTTGTACTACAGTCACAATTGGTGCCTGAGGGAGCAGATGTCTGTCAACCCCAGCAGAACTATGATAATTTCCTTCACTAAGGGGAGAAAATTGAACGATTTAATGCAACTGTCCCTCAATGGTGAGGTTATTCCATTTAGAACGACGGTGGAACGCTGCTCACTTGGAAAAAGTTTTACACAAAGCCAGACTGTCCCTATGGACATGTCGAAGGATGTGTGGTGAAACTTGGGATTTAGGTCCCAAACAAATCCTTTAGATTCATGTGATGATTGTCAGACCAATGATCACTTATAGTGCAATTGCCTGGTGGCCGAAGGCCTAGACGAAACTCTCTGGCTTACAGAAACAGGCTTCTCTGGCTATCAATGGTGCCATCAATACCACGCCGTCAGCGGCCATGAAGATCCTTCTAGATCTACCTCCTCTTCACATTTTATTTGAGAGAGAGGCTAGATGGACTGCATATAGAATTGTGCACATTGCCAATTGCACAAATCAATTTAAGGCAGAGTGCATCATACTGTTGGTTGACACTGGAAGTCACATCATTCTGGAAATTACCTCTGACTTTATGCCTCCAACCGTCTACTACGAACTGCCTGATAGAATACTGTTCCCGAGTAGAGAGGACTGGATCCTCCGGGAGAAGGAAGTATCAAGAGCAGATAGTTGTTGGTTCACAGATGAATCAAAAACACCTTTCGCTTCTGGTGCAGGTGTTTTCAGTCGCAGACCCAGGACAGAGATATCAACCTGGCTAGGATTCTATCCGATTGTATTTCAAGCAGAAATTTACGCTATTGAATTGTGTGCGGAGAGATTGGAAGAATCCAACCTCATACAAAAGTCAATAAAAATTATTCTCGAACAGTCAAGCGGCCTTGGAAGCTCTTGGCTCCTACCGAGCAACGTCACAATTGGTAGCAAATTGTCAAAAACGACTCTCCTCGATAGGAAAGTTCGATAGATTGTTTCTGGTCTGGATTCCTGGCCATACTAGCCTGGAAGGCCATGAGGCTGCTGACTTTCATGCAAAGGAGGGTGCTGCAAGCAGTTTCATCGGACCAGAACCTGTCATTGGCATCGCTTTAGTCTTTGCCCAACAAAGATTGAACACCTGAATGACAAGAAGATTTATGAGCTTTTGGCAGAATCTTCCAAGACTGGCTCACTCTAAGGTGTTCATTCACCCTTCGAAGCTTGATACCAAACAGTTGTTTAACTATGGTGAAGATGAACTACGATGTCTAATAGGCCTTCTTATAGGTCATTGTTATTTGAATCATCATGTGCAGAGACTCGGACTGTCGAAAGACAGTGTGTCGCCTGTGTTTGGAAGATGATGAAACATCAGAGCACATACTTTGTGTCTGCCCCGCTGGGGACCGAATCAGGTTTTTAGAGTTCGGCAGAGCTGAACTCTTAACATCTGACCTGAAAGACCACTCACCATACAAACTAATCGGCTTCGTTGATAAGCTGAGTTTATTTGGTCGAGTGTGAATAGGTGTGAGCCACAATAAACCTTCGTGGGTTGCGGTGTAGGGTCGAATAGACCCACTCACTTTGGACCTAACCTAACCTAACTTGTAAATATTTTTCTGGCTCAGAGTACAATCACCCTATACCACTGTCAATATTCAAGGTAATTTTGAGCACCCAATTTCATTCTACATAACATTAAATGAAAATTCTTTGATGCATTCTTCACTATAGCATAAAATCGCCAAACACTTCTGATTTGTATGCCTCTCAGCAACGAACAAAACATGATAAACAGCTGAAACTGTGAGCATATGTTCGAAACGATGGTACCAACATATAAAGTCACTGATACAATGTCCGAACCCCGCGAAATTGGACCTTCACCTTATTTTTTAACAGACCTCGTATGTTCACAAACTTTGATAAACGGAAAACTCGGCAGACACATCTGGTATTTGGACCTTTCAAAATTCATCTGATATAGTCCTCTGTTTCAAAGATTCAGACTTTCGGTGCATCTATTATTGAATATTTTGGAAATTTCTCATTTTATTTACGGCTTACAGAAATATCCATAAAATTGCTGATTTTTTCAAAGGGCAGTTCTTGTTCAAACGTGGGACAATTAAAAATCTTATCTATATAAGGAAACCACATATTATTCTCATTAGGACCTCTCTTATCACAGTTGAAGTAAAATCAATGAATACACCATTTCAGTTCGAAGCAACACTACAGAATGCATTTATGTACAGTTGTTAGTTGCTAGCACTATAGTATTATTTACATTTACACAATCAGGTGAACTCACGACAAGAGACGTATGCTTCCTATCAGAGTAATAGCAAGGACTGCAGAGGCCATATTTCTACTCGTTGAGCTCTTGACTGAAACAAAATAGAGATAATGAATTGTGTGCTAATACTGTTGTAAATGGTGCCCGAAAAAAATAACTCCGGCCACCATATGGTAACCATAAACCAAACGTGACGTAGCTAAGAGCGCGCGAATGCACGATGTTTCCCCGCCACTCGAGAAGCAGCGAGAATAATGCTACCGACTTCGACAGAACTTCGAAGAAATTTCTACGGCATTCGTCAAGTGAAAGCTACAGTGCGGTACGTGAAGTGATCCAGTAGGGCGATAGACATTCCAATAATAGTTGAAGATTTAGTTGAAGTATTCGTGTATTTAAAGTGAAATAAAGTTAAGTTTCATTATCCAGTGTAGTAAATTTTTGGTCAACCCACGGGGAAAAACGTAACATTTGGTGACGGAAGTGGAATAATTTACTTAAAATTTTCTGTTTTATGGTGATATAATTTTTGTATTATTTGTATGTGTGTGTGTGCCAAAATGCCCTTCTAACTGAGTCCAAATTGCTCGTGAATTAAGTGACTATAAAACTTGAAAGTTAGTTCATTGTATAGCTGAAGACTCAGCGGAACCATTCAGTATCTTCCCGTTCGAGTATCTTGTGACATGTAAGAGCCAGACTTATTCATTGCATGTTTCAAATTATTTCCTGATTCTGATTCTCATTCAAAACCACGTATAAAAACTTCGCAGCTTATCAGTGGCACTTTTTAACTCCTGAATATAAAACACCACCGTCAGTCTTTATACCAAAGATTCAATATACACTTCACACACATAGTTATGCCTCAGGAAGTATGTTTAAGTGATCTCCTCGCTGAAATAAAGAAAGTCACTGTCCAAAACTCTGAAATAAAAAAGCAAAATGATGAAATTAAGACTGAAATTTTGAGTTTCAGGAAAGTTCATGAAATATACACTGAATAACTTAGAAAATCCATATCAGACCTCAAGGAAGAAAACACATTTCTAAAAGAAAGACTATTCAGGGTTGAAAGAGGTATAAAAATAACAATATTCTCATCCACGGATTGAGAGAAAATAATAACGAGAACACCTTCGTGTTTTTATCCGATTGTATCCATAATAAGCCCATCATAGAAATTGAAGAATATCACGTCAGAAATATCTTTCGTATTGGTTACTTAGCTGATGATAGAGTGAGGCCAATTCTCCTTGAATTACTTCACAATAAAATAAAAAGTGATATACTGAAAAATGCCTTCAAGCTAAAGGGCACAGGTGTTTACATTAGTAACGATCTTACCGAAGAGGAACTCAGTAATCAAAGGACCATAAAAGATTACTGGAAGCTTGCATTGGAAAATAAAATTGAGGCAAAAATAGTGAAAATCGTGAAAGGCAAGTTATTAGTTGACAACAAAGCGTACAGCGTTGAAGAAATAAAAAGCGATCCACTAAAGATAATTAAGAGCGAGGAAGATAGGAAAGACGCTGCAGGAGAACGAAACACACGCCTGAAATCCAAGAGGACTAAAGGAGAGCTAGAATCAAACAACAAAAAAAAAATAAGCCTTCGAAGTAATTTATCGTAAATTTTATATCTGTTCGACCTAGAAATATATGCCAATTGTTTTACATATTTCTCCTTAATATATATTTTTTTATTGTATCTAATCATTTATGGTAGCATTTATCAATTTTGTTCATCTGAATGTGAGGTCTGTGTTCACTGGACTTGACTATCTCAAGACTTTTCTAGAAAATCATGAAATCCATATCTGCGGTCTAAGTGAAACATGGCTTAACTCGGATATCGATTCTGAGTCTGTGGCTATTCATTCTTATCATATTGTCAGATTCGATAGAGATGGTAGAGGGGGCGGCGTAGCTATGTATATAAAGAACACCTTAAACTATAATGTTGCCTTTCATAAAATCAGCCCTGAGCTCGAACAGCTCTGGATCTCGGGAAATTCGACGGGTAAAAACTTTTGTTTTGGAATATTATATCGTCAACCCAAGTCCAATATTTTAACGTGCCTCAATGAATTAGAAGAAACGGTTTCTAATCTTTTACCTGCGAGTGACTATTTTATAATGGCGGGTGACTTGAATATTAACCTTATGTCAATCGATAACCGTTCCGATCTCGTTTATCAATTTCTTTCGACCTTTAACTTCTCCCAGTTAATTACTTCCCCCACTAGAGTTACCCCTCGAAGTCAAACTTTACTTGATCTCCTGATTGTTTCGCATCCTGAAATAATTTCAAATGTGAATATTACTGATATTCAAGGAATCTCAGATCATATGGCCATTTCGTGTACTATCAAAAATTTTGGCACCAAAAAGAATAATGTCAAGTGGATTTTTTATCGCGATTTTTCAAATTTTGATAAAGATTGCTTTTTGACTGATCTTACATCAATTGACTGGGATGAAATATATAGGTTGGATAACGTTGACGACATGGTAATAACATTCAACCACAATCTCATTACTCTATTTGATATCCATGCTCCTTTTCGAAATATCAGAGTTACCAAGCCACCCGCACCTTGGTTGACGTACAACATCCGTCAGATGATATCTTTAAGGGACCGCGCATTTAAAAAATATAAGCAAACTAAAACCATTGTAGCATGGGATAGCTATAAAGAACTGAGGAACTATACGACATCTGCTATTCGTCGGGAGAAAAAAGCGTATCTTCAATTTGTTCTTTTGAAGAAAGATGCCAAGGCAACGTGGAGCACATTACGTAATTTAGACATCTTGCGTCAGAAGTCAAACCCTGAACTACCACCTAACCTTAAAAATCTAGATGAAATCAAACAGTTCTTTTGCAATATTACCCTCCCTGACAAAACACAATTTCAATCATCGCTTCTAGAAAAGTACCAAACTAAGAACAATGCAAATTCTTTCAGATTCTCTCCCGTTGACGAACATACTGTACAGAAGTTTTTAAATAAAATCAGAAGCAACCCTGTAGGTTCGGACAGCATCTCACTTCGAATGATTCGTTTGGTGGAAACACATCTCTTGGAATACATCACCTTTATACTGAATTCGTGTATCATTTCCTCGTGTTTTCCTTCCCCTTGGAAACATGCACTTGTGATTCCTTTGGCTAAGTGTAACTCTCCGACACATTACTCTGATCTTAGGCCCATTAGTATTTTACCCTCCCTATCTAAAACGCTTGAGCTGATTCTCAAAGATCAGATGATTGAATTCATCACTTCTTACAATATCATAACTAGCGTTCAGTCTGGGTTTCGTTCTCAACATAGCACGACTTCCGCACTCCTCTCCATAACGGATGATATTTTCAAAGCAACCGATAAAAATTATGTTACATGTCTAGTTTTATTGGACTTTAGTAAAGCTTTTGATACCTTAGACCGCAGTCTTTTATGTAATAAACTTAGTCACTTTGGTTTGGATAAATGTGCCGTAGATCTTATTGAAAGCTTTCTGGAACACCGAACTCAGTGTATCAGCCTTGATCACTTAAAATCTGCAGTTCTGAACACCAAATTTGGAGTTCCACAAGGTTCCATTCTTGGACCTCACTTATTTAACATCTATATCTCAGATTTCTACAAATGTATTAAATTTTGCAATATCCACCACTACGCTGATGACACTCAAATTTACTTATCTTTTCCGGAAGGCAACCTGAAAGCACAAGAACTGATAAATAGAGATCTCAATTCACTGTATAACGTCTCGTGCGCACATAACTTGAAATTGAATGCTAAAAAATCATCATATATGTTATTTGGACCCAAATCTAAAAAGAGCCTTATTTCCAACCTCATCAAGATCCACATAAATGATGTTGCCTTGCCTTTCACTTCTGAATGCAAAAACTTGTGTTTGTGGATTTGAGATTTTCTAAACATATCAGTCATCTTTGTAAATCGTCTTATAACATTCTCAGACAAATTTTTCCCAATAGAGACATTATTTCTACACAACTCAAACTCAAGCTTTGCGAAACTTTAATTTTCTCTAAATTATCTTATTGCGATTGCATATATGGACCTGCACTTACTCAATACGACTCTTTTCGCCTCCAAAGAATTCAAAACTCTTGTTCGAGATTTTCCTTCGGTATACGTAAATTTGATCACATCAGTAGTAGGTTTGATGACTCCGGATGGTTAAGACTTGAAAAACTACGCACTCTACACATCCTCGCAAATACACACAGATTACTATTAACAAATAAACCTGATTATTCATATGATAGACTTGTTAGTTTTTCCCAGACTAACAACTATTATACTCGAAATGGATCCGTCTTGGTCATTCCCAAACACAACTCGGCACTTTTTACTCGAAGTTTCTCCTATATTTCCGCTAAGCTGTATAATAAGTTGCCCAGTGACTTCAGACTTTAAACGATAATGACATTTAAAAAACGCTTGAAACTTCTGCTTAAATCCTGGTAATTCGTGCTCTGTATGTCGATTTTTGCAAAACCCTTATTATTATTCATTTCAATCAAGCTTTTATTATTGTGTTTATTGTTGTATTGGTTGATTTATCTTCTATTCTATACTTGTTATTATTATAGTTTTTATTGTTTATTTTTATAAGGTTGATTTGAAAAACAGCTTATGCTGATAATCCGCCTGTTCATCTAATTTATTTTTGATGAATAAAGTCGATTTATTATTATTATTATTATTATAAGACAATGAGTGTCGATTACGACGAACTCAAGAAAATGTTCGAGGCTTTCCCAACGAGCATGGCAGAGAATGAAAAACGCAGTAGGTAGGAAACTGAACACAGAAGAGATGAAGAACGATTACGCCGAATTGAAGATCGTGAATTACTACTAGATATTCTGGAAAAACAAGAAAGAAACAGGAAGGAATATCGTAAATTATTGGTAAATATTCAGAAGAAACAAGAAAAAGACAAAAAGGTATACCTTCATTTATTTGAAGATTTGAAATCTTCCCAAGTGAGTAAAGGGAAGGTACAGGAATTGATTCAGGAAGAATTTGGAAAAGTATTTCATTAAACA